TATGGTAACATACCGACATTAAGCTGTGAAATTAGCATCACTGCACGCTTGAAAGCTGCAGATTGTTTGGATGATTATGATTCTTTTTTTAAACCCAATTGGAGTCGATCCATTTTCATGGCAGTCAGATCAGAATCAAAATCAGATTTACCTTATTGCCAAATAAAACCAAAATATGTAGCAAAATGTAAGTGGATCATATTTGTAAAAAACTATTTCCCAGTAGCATTTGTTAAAATTATTAAATATTATAAGCTTTCCTGCTTTGGTAATAAAGTGCACATTACCATTTTAATTACTTGATAAGTGAATTTAATAGTGAAATATACTTTAAAGTAAATACATAGATTTTATAACAAAGTTTTAGATTCAAATGTCTTATTTTGCACTTGTCATATCTAATATTTTATAAGATCAACTGTATTAAATAAGGTTTCGGCTGTTCTTTAAATGAATCCAGGTGCAACTGCAACAGGTGAAACTGTCTAATTATCTTTTAGCCACACTGTCGTCATCAGAAAAATCAACATACCTTTTTTTTTTTTTATCTCTGTAGAAATCCTGTTGAGGTAAGCAGCAGCGGCTGTCTTTAAATGACAAGAAGAAAACTTGAGTCAAATTTATTGGCTTCTATTGCCTTCTGTGAGTGGCCAACTAAAATAGCCTCCTGTGTCCTGACAGCCAGTATACTGTATCTCTACACTATGGCATACACCAACACCAGGTGTACCACTATACTCCCATTGTTCAACAGTAAGATTGCAGGATGTTAAGACAGCCTCAACTCAGCGATTAACATCTATTTTGGGGGTTGAATACATCATCATGATTATTAATGTTATTGGATAGATTAAAAATAAAAATCTGAACAAACCAAAGAAACCAAGCAGAAAAGTTGTCACAGTGGTTTAATCAGCATCACATGTCAGCATCACATGTATCTCAAATAGTGGGACAGCACCATCATCTGTTTAACATAAATACTGCACTTTGAAAGACAAACTCATAAAGCTAATCAGTCTTCATCAAGCACAATTTCAATATGCAAAGGGAACTGTATACTATACAATTTATATATGGCTATTTTTACATACAGATTTACAATAAAGCAGTGATTCTCAAACTGGGGGGCGTAGAGCCACTTCAGGCGGGTTGTGGATGTTGACTGGACCTAAAGTTACATGAAAATGATTCATGTGGTGACATTAAAAAGTGCTCTGATGCTAGCAAGGCTATTTTGCTAACCTGAATCTTGTCTATTTCAATCGCCTGTATTGTTAATGATTGATAAAAATGAAATCCATTTTTCCAGATTTATTTGATCCTGTAATGGAAATCGTCTTGACTTTGCACAATGATTCTGATATAAAGATGAACAAACGGATTTAATAAAAACAAAGGCATTGAACATAGACCAGACTTAAGGTTTAACGTTGCTTTGTTTCACACAGGCACCTGCTTATTGTCCAGCATCAAACAGCTTCTTCCTGCCCTCCATTCCAGACATGGCCTCCACGTTCTTACGCCAGTCAGTCACTTCTTCCCTCTGCAAAGACAGAGATACAGATTGTAAGCTTCTTTTTATGTCCATAGCACTGGCTCAGCTGTCCTCGACCAGTTTGAGCCTGTGTCACTCTCAAACCTCACTAAAATAGTGACCCAACTAAAATCCTCACATTGTCCCACTGACACTGTGCCCCCTCGCCTCTTTAAGGAAGCCTGGGAGACAATTGGCCCAAATGTCCAAAAAATCATCAATAGTAGTCTGGCAGCAGGTGTCCCAACATATTTCAAAGAAGCAGTTGTGGAACCCCTGATTAAAAAAAGAAATCTGGATTCCTCGGTTTTATCCAACTACAGAGCTATCTCGAAGCTTCCTTTTATCTCAAAAATTTTAGAGAAGCCTGTACTTCTACAGCTGCAGTCTTTTTTAGATGTACATGGTATTTTTGAGATTTTTCAATCTGGTTTTAAAGCATTTCACAGTACTGAAACTGCACTTCTAAGAGTTTTTAATGACCTCTTATTAACCACTGATTCTGGGAATTCTGCCATACTAGTGCTTTTAGACCTCACCGCTGCATTTGACACAGTAGACCATGCGGTTCTTATCTCTCGTCTAGAGCACTGTGTTGGTATCAGGGACACTGCTTTGCAGTGGTTTAAGTCCTATTTGTCTGGGAGATGCTTTTCAGTAAAGCTTGGGGACTTTGGTTCATCCACTGCCCCCCTTCTTTGTGGTGTTCCACAGGGCTCAATTCTTGAACCAATTCTCTTTTCCCTGTATCTCCTCCCCTTAGGAAGCATAATTAGAAAGCATGGTATCTCCTACCACTTCTATGCGGACGACTCCCAAATATATCTGCCCCTCAAAAGAGGTGAAAACTCCTTCGTACCTCTACTAGAGTATTTAAAAGATATTAAGACCTGGATGGCTTCTAACTTTTTAAATCTAAATGAAGATAAAACTGAGGTCATTGTGTTTGGACCCAGTCGGACTGGTGATATCCTTTCTGTTGACCTGGGCTACCTGCAACAATATGCGAAACCCGTAGTGACAAATCTGGGTGTGAAAATAGACAATGGTTTTAAACTTGATAAACAGATACATAATGTTGTTAAATCCAGTTTTTATCACCTGAGGCTTTTATCTAAAATCAAACCTTTTTTATCTCGTAAGCACTTTGAACATGTGATTCATGCTTTTATCTCAACTCGTCTGGACTACTGTAATGCACTTTACATTGGAGTTAACCAAACCTCTCTCTCACGCTTACAGTTGGTACAAACCTTGGCCGCTCGTCTTTTAACTGGAACTCGCAAGCATGAACACATTACACCAGTGCTGGCCTCGTTTCACTGGCTCCTGGTCCATTTTAGAATACATTTTAAGATATTATTGTTTGTTTTTAAGTGACTGAATGGGTTGGCACCTCACTACATCTCAGACCTCTTACAAGTCTACACCCCCCCACGGTCACTTAGGTTTACTGACCAACTTCGGCTGGTCGCTCCAAAAACCAGGTTAAAAACCAGGGGCGACCATGCTTTTTTGGCAGCAGCCCCTTAACTGTGGAATGAGCTACCTCCACAGGTCAAATTGGCCCCGACCCTCGAATGTTTTAAATCCCGTCTTAAAACCCACTTGTATTCCCTGGCTTTTAACCCAGCATGAGAGCTGTGTAGTCTTATTGTTTTATGTGTTTCTATGTGTTTCTATGTGTTTCTATGTGTTTTATATGAGTTTTTATGTTTTATTTCTTGTTCAGCACTTTGTAAACTTTTGTTTTTTAAATGTGTTATATAAATAAAATGGATTGGATTGGATTGGAATGTAGTTTCTAATTTAGTAGACAATTGTCTCAGCCACAGGCTTCACCTTTTCGTCCTCCTTCTTCACTGTCTTAAGGTTGGCCTTGAAATCAGCCTTCATGAGTTTGGAGCTGTCGGTGTATGCACCCAGCATGTCATCTGTAGTTTTCTTCACCCTCTTCAAGTGTGGCCTCTTTACCCCCTTCAGCTCAGTGATCTTCTGATTCAGTGCCTGAATCTGTGCAACAAACATCACGGCTTAAGAAAAAACAATAACCACACAACTACAAAATCATGATAAGTCAGTAAATGTATTAACTGATATTTGATTCAGCTTTACTGTACCTCTTTTGCATTTTTGTCTACCTTAACCTGCATATCATAACGTGCTTCATCTACAACATCAATCTTACGATGCAGATCTTTGCAAAGTTCCTGTAAAGAAAAACAAAACTGTCAACATGATGTTGAACAATAATGTCTGAATCGGCATGATGTGCTATGTCAATACCTGGAGATCCTGGACTGACAGACCTGACAGCTTCAGCGGAGGGAAGCACTCATTCACAGCTCTTTCCTTCTGGTGTTTCTTCTCTTCACTTTCAGCCACCAGCATAGAAGCTGCCTTCTTCAGCAGTTTCGACTGTTAAGATAGTAAGGCGTTAATAAGCCTGGATAACAAGGAAAGAGGTCTTAGATCATGTGGCATACGGTTAAATACTGTTCACATAAAGGTTTACTAGACCTACCTTCAAATGCAGTCGGCGTGTTGCTGAATATTTTGGCTTTCTCTGTGAGAAAGATAAGAATACTTTATACATCAAATAGAGTCATTAATAAAGGTTTTCAAATGTATTTTTAAGCATAAAACGTACAATTCTGAATCAATACTGATGACTGCTAATGATAGTGCAAGAAATCATTTTCACTCACCGGTCTTCATGAACATGTGGCAAGAAAAGTAGACAATATATATATTATTTATTATTAATTATTATTATTATTTAATATACAAACAGTGTGCAGAATTGTGGTGACCTTTTAGAGGCGAATACTCACCCCTCAGACATGTCTACAACTTACAGAACCTGTGGAGCAAAAGCAACATTTTTAATTAATTAATTTTAACTGCATTGCACATATTTTTAACACATGATGTACTATAGTTTTACAGACTATATCTTGTATAAATAAATGTAATGATTGTTAAAGTGTAGTTAATATCTGTGATGAGAATCCCACTAGTTTAATAGATTGATTTAGTCTAATTGTCCTCAGGGGCTTCGAGATACGTATTCAGTATTCTTCCAGGACCAGATAAAGGACTGATGAGGGGCCAGTTGCATGGCTATATTTGGCCACATTGCCATCATGCTTTGCTGTGTCCCAGCAGCTGCTGTGACCTGTGCCAAGCTGAGAGAGAAACAGCAGCAAAACTGTGGAGACTTTTCTCAGTCCCACTCCTTTAGCATCAACAACCCTGCTCATTTTCCATTTTACTAGGTTGTTAATTGCATGTATCTATCGTCCAAGTATAAAGTTCCCGATTATGGCTAAAGTGAAAATAGTTTGTAAACCAACACTATCTTTCTCTATCACATCTCCTTCCTGTCTGTCTCACTTTCTTTTGTAACATTGGCTTTACAACTACATTAGCTCCTATCTGTAATGAATTTACCATGGTATTATATATTAATAAATAAATAGATTAAGGTGATACAAAAGGATGAATGCATGTAAATGCTTCTGACACAACACAGTAATATATCCAATTGAAATTAAACCAGCCTGACAGGGTGCTAAAGTCAAGGTAAACAAGCAACGCAGGAGGTTGCCAGTTCATACGAGCGAGCCATCATCACTTATCACACCAGCTTTTCGGCAACAAGGATGGGTCAAGCATGTTGTTACCAGCCGCCAATACTTTGGCAGGCCGTTTAAGCATCAGGTTACATTTCTTCATTTAGAGGATCAAGAGATCGTCAAGAAGCTTGAGGTGTTGCAGAAGTCAACCCCCAAGAGCCACATTCAAAATGCTGCTTTAAGACCTTGACAAAAGTAACGACATAGCAGGGATTCCCTCACATAAATACCAAACGCAGTAGCCGTGTCAGGGTCATGCTGGTATGCAGTCTTTACTAATTACTGCATTAAAGCCAGACTCAGCATTACCCAGAAAAACATACGACTGTAGAGACATGTCCTCAGATACCCCGGCTGCTGTCACAGCAGGAGAAGAGGTCCGTTAATCTTGCAATGTCAAGATAAAGAGACCCCTTTAATGTCTATAATAAATCTGATTGATTTTGTTATGAGTCTTACCTTGAAGGTGAGATGAAATCAGCGAGGGCAGCAACAGTGGTGAGTCAGGAAAAGAAAAAGCACTTTATGGTTGTTCGTGAAAGATTCAGATATTCAAAGTCTCATGTGAATGGCTTGCTAAAATAGACCCCCTGTCCACCTGACAATTGCTGCAACACAATGCAGCCCTTTTTGATTTGCCCTCAACCCGTGACCCATTTATTTCATGTGATTGCATTGCACAAGAGCAAACCTCACATGTCACTCACACTAACTGACAGCTGAGCTATCCTCTCAGCAGATAACAGGTGCTATGAGCATGTCTGCTTTTTTAAATTGTGTCATGAGGTGCACTGGCATAAGTTAACATCAAAGACCAGTTGTTTTAAAGGTGCCTTTTTGTCATTTTGATTTGATAGGTTGAAGTTTATTAAGTTTTATGATAAAACAGTTGTTTTCTTCTCTACATGTGGATGTCTACAGCCACCTGTAAGCTATGTTGTGATATCTTGGTTAAGCATATTGGCATGTTTGCATTTGCTAATTAGCACTAAACACAAAGCTGAGTCATAATGCCCTTAGATTTGCTGGTATTTGGTCAAAAAACAAAGTATTGAAGTTAAGTTAAAAGTTAAGAGCCACACAGCTAAAACTGTAATTATAGAGCTTCAATGCCATCCAGTATTGAAAAGAATTTACTCCAACTAATTAGCACTAAAGTTGTACGTGTAAGCAGTGATCAGCAATGATAGGAGAGGTGAAATACATGAGAATTAATGACAGTGGCTAACAAAATCCAACACCACAAAGGCACATTATGTGAAAACGTGTCAAAGTGCATGTGCATTAATCAGTGTATCCACGAGGTAAACTCATCATTTCTTCTACTGTGGCTGTTCACATGTCTGATGGCCTCTGGAAAAAAACTAAACTTCTGTCAATACAGGCAATCTAAAAACGCCTTCCTGGTGACATTAGGAATAGTTATGGATGCTTCAAGGTTGCTTCTGAAAACAATATGCAGTGACACCACTCTCACACATAGGAGAGATCAAATACAGCCTCTACTGTCTATTCTAGTCAGATTTGAGTGGCACATGACTGTCTGTCTGTCTTAGTGTTATGTAAAGTGATACAGTTGACTTCCACGTCCAGTAGGAGACACAGTAATAATGAGACAAAGTGATAGGAATTAACACTTAACTGCGGCCACGTTTCTGTTCTATAGAATTTAATCCCTGATGTCCAAGCAGTGAATAGCTCAAGCTTTAGTGGTCATAATCCAGGCCTTCATGTGTTTATCCTCTGGGCTATGTTCTATTATCTATATTTTTAGGTAATGTTGCCTGTGGGTTATGTGAGGTCATGCTGGATGCTAAAAAGTGGTTTGAGAGGTGTCGTGGTGGAATCTAGAGATTTAAGTAGTGGTGGAACAGCGCAGTATTAAAGTACAGCATTGAAATATACTTAAAGGACCAAAATGTAAAAGTAGCCATTGTGCAGAACTGCCCCTTATATTATTAGATTGTAATTATTGATGTTTTGATATGTATCTGTAAGCATCACTTTGATGTTGCAGCCAGAAAAGGTGGAGCTAATTCAAACAAATGTATGTACCGCATTGCTTAATCTATAATACAGTAATACATCATAATTAATTTGTTAATTATGATGTATTACAAATCTAAATCTGCAAAGTAACTAATGTTAACTATAGTTGTCCAGTAAATGTAGTATAAATGTATTTCCCTTAGAAAAGTACTGGAGTAGAAGTAAAAAGCATAAATACTCAAGTAAAATACAAGTACATTAAAATGTTACCTAAATACAGGACTTGAGTAAATGTACTTAGTTACTTTCCAACATTGGGTTCAAGACACTGATTTTCACACATGGTTCAAGTCTGGCCAGGGACCTCTCTCTCTTTACCCATATTTTGTCAGTTTTTCTTTTTTTAAAAAGCCAAAAGTGTTACCTGTAAGCATATTTCCAGCTACCAAAATGCTATTTAAACTGTTGAAACAGGAAGTGTACCACTTGTAAATTGGGTCACTGCTGCCCCCCCGTGACTGTTTGAAGTTTGGACATGTTGGTTTTCAGATTAAGACCACACACTCACAAGCCTCTGGTTTCCATTCCAGCAAGTCTTTTCCATTCTCATGCAATACTGCATGAGAATGGAAACTAAAACCTCATTTGATAAAAGCATCCTTCCTGTTTACTTAGATGTCAGCACCTGATAAGCATGAAACACATCCCATTGGTTGAGATCAGATCACAATGAGCCTCTCTGTTTAATCAGGCAAACCATTGAGCCAGCTTTCCAAATGGAGTGGATTATTTTTGTTTGCTCGGTAGTTTTTAAAGCTTTTCCACCTATATTATGGAGCTACACCAAAATGATCCATGTTCCTTTTTTCTGTTTTTGTTTTGCTGCTGCACTCACAGCCTCATCTTCTCTCAGGACTCTGGACAAGCGTCTAGACTGCAATCAACTGGTGAGTCATAGAAAATAAATATAGGAGCAATCATATAAAAGTAAATTGAGGAGAATGTAGTCCTAGATTCGTGAAGTCACTCTTAACTTGTGTCTTATCTGCTATCTTGTTTTTTTCCCCCCCAGGGTCTTAACAACTGTTTAATTAGTAAGTATCTTGTTTTTCAAATCAGTAAAACAAGGGTGGCAGTATTTTGTCAATATCTTCACATTTGACTGTTTCCATTCCGAACGTTACAAAGATTTATTATTATGCACTGTAGAAGGATTTGTGCAAGAAAACATGATTTTAATGTGACATTTAGGTGATTCATCTGCCCACACACAGAAGTACACATACGTTGAATATATTCCCAACATTATAACATATACACCGTTAAATGTCAGATAACTGCTCAGAGAAACGCATGGTTGTTGGACTCGCGCCTATTGGCCCGGATTGGGATGCTGAGCATGTGGGAGTCTGGACAGACAAAGAAGGGCCAGTTTCTGTTATGAATGTGTCGTGGAAAATAAAGGCTGATGGTAAGTAATGCTAAAAATGTGCTTTTAAAACTAAAGTTTTGTTTATTGTAATTTACATTTTAACATGCATCAAAATACAAGTTGTCAACCAACCAGTCTTTCATCAAAGGGGAATAGAGAACACACTCTATATGCACTTTCTTCTATTCACAGCAAATGTATTTGCACTTCATGGATCGGAGATAAATATTCTGGATACACGTACAAATCAAAGTATGTGTGTGCAGTTTTCTTACAATCTCGGTAAACAGCTAAATCCAAACTTTAAGATGGTAAGATTGTAACATACTTGATTATTTAATTATTGCCATAACAGTGGCAAACAAAAGACGTTACAGATTCCTTTTCTTTACTACTAGTGGACATTTTCCTTGGATGGAGTTGAGGTAGTGCCTGGGCATACATATATGGTGTCAGTATTTAATTTGCCACAACCTGAGAATGGGGATGTCAGCATTAGAAAGGAAATTATTATCCCAGGTAAGTTACCTCCAGATCCAGACTACTGAAATCTGCATGAAAGATCAGCGAGACATTTTTATGAGTTCATTTTATATGTTTGCAACAGTTTACATTGTGTGCTTAAGGCAGAAAACGCATCAGGTATGATTACCACAAGTAAAATAAGCAATGTGAAAATAACATGTGCAGTCTCAAAAAAGGATCCGTTTAATATATATTGTGACAATGGCTCTTTTACCAAAACTATCTCTTTTCTTTCACATTTATCACACTTTGTCACCATTTGGATATGTAAATAAGTAATAATTTGGTGCATGTGAAAGCCTCGTCAGGCATCAGTGTGCTGGCATTTTTCATAATTCAGTGAGGGATTTTATTCTTCTTGTAAATCCAGCACAAAACAAATAAACTAATATTTACTGTCATGACCAGGATGTGATGACAGGAGAATACAAAAGGCCCAAACGTGTCTGGAAAATGGTAAATTTTACGTTCTTTACATCTCACAAGTTTTAATTGACTACTGTAAGGGATCCAGGACCATCTAGGCATTGTACTTTTGTTATTACAGGTAGTCTATGGGATCCTCACATGACCGCCAATGTGTCTGTGGATATGGAACATAGAAAGTTATCCATTGTTGTGGGATTTGAGGCAGCACAGTATTCAGAAAGATACCAAGTCTCCATTCAGAGTCTTAGTTTGAATTCCTCAAAGAATGTCTCAAAGGTAATTAAGCTGAATTTGTTTTGAGACTGCCATTATATGATTTACTGCTTGTTTAACATGAAATACTGTGGAGTGCGCACATGAAATCAAAATGTGTTTTCTGACTTTGTCATTTCCATGCACAAATAGGAAAACAGAACATCGCTCAATGTGACATTTGAGTTTGGTTTGTGGCAACTCTCGCAATGTGAAATATTGTTAATGGTATGTTCAAGTTTTATTTAACGTCCTATCCCTGACAGTTGATAAAGAAATCCTAACTTGTAGAGATATAACATCCAGAGGTCAACTAACTCTGCTTATTTTAAAGATTCAGCCTTTTTTCATGCGATGCAAGAATTACTGTTGGCGCCCTGAGAAAATAATCGATTACTGCCTATGTAAGTACGATTTTTGACGCATACCGCTTGGTAGATTTTCAATTTGGCCATAAATCAGTTGTCCCCAACCTTTTTGGCTCATGACCCCTTTAAATAAATCAGTGTTCATTTGCGACCCATTGTTGCTGGTGTCACAAGACTTTTGACCTCTAAACTTTTGTCTGATTTTAATAAATGTTTGAAACCCAAAATGGTGAGACAATCCCATAATTCACAAAAAGCAAAGATTAGATAAATTGCCAAAAAGAAACTCAAAGTTATGTAGCAGAAGGTTTTTATTTTCTAATTTCCTATCCCATTATTCATCTGGCAAGCCCTTCAGATTTATCTCGATTGACCCCCAGGTTGTGAATCCTTTTGTATTTGTAGAGGGATTTAGCCAATCATTATTCTATTTATTCTTATTTAGTTCATTTATTATAAATTATTCTTTTGTTGTTTTTTTCTTTAGATTATCCACCACGGACTTTAATTGTAAAGGCAGCTGTGGGCCTGCTTGTCATTGGTTGCTGTCTTGCTTATTTCTTGTGGAGAGCATCCCATAAAGGTTTGCCTTCCTATAAATGCACTGTATTGAATAGAAAATGCAGCTTAAGTTCATAATTAATCAATGGACTTCTTCCTTCTCTCAGTTCCTGTGAACGCATCCTCACCTGCTGTCAAAGAGCAACCAGAAGGTTTTCAAGTGCAAGAGAGAAAAAGAGTCCTAGTCATCTATTCCCTTGACCACCCTTTATACAAAAGCGTTGTTCTCAAGCTTTGTGCTTTCCTGGTAAGCAAATGTGGCACTGAAGTGGTCCTGGATCTGCTGGACTCTACAAGACTGGGAGTGTTGGGAAGCATTCAGTGGCTGGACTGGCACAGAGAACAAATAGAAAGCTCTTCAGATAAGATATTAATCCTGTGCTCACGAGGAGTACAAGCCAAATGGAGAGCCATGTGTGGCGACAAAGAGGTTTTTCTGAAGGAGGACGCCCGCTCACCTGTAGGTGACATGCTCACTCCAGCTCTAAGCCTCATGGTCCCCCATTTCATCCGATCTGCCTCATTTGAAAAGTACATAGTGGCTTACTTTGACGACATTTGTTCTGAAGAACATGTTCCTTCACCTTTTAACATCACAGTACGATACAAGCTGATGAAACAGTTTGAGGAGCTGTTTTTCAGAATCCTGGACACTGAGAAGCACGAACCGGGCAGAGTGAATCACATCAAAGGGCTTTCAGAGGACGAGTACTACGACTGTCCCTCAGGTAGAGCCCTGAGGGATGCCATAGAGGTTTTTCATGCGTACCAGCTGGCGCATCCAACATGGTTTGAAGATGAGTTACTGGAAAGCTCGAAGTTGGAGCTTGAACAGGCATCAGCTGAGTTCACGATGCAAAAACAATCACAAACCTCATTGCATATTGGGTACCCGACTCAGTCACCAGTCATGTAAAGACACAAGAAAGTGATTTCACTGTTCAAATGTGCACCTCAGTTGAGTTCAACTATTAGACAACTATATAGAACATGCTGCCAGTTTGCTGTTGTCACATTAGTGTTTAGAGACATCTGTGAAGATCTAACTCTTCGATGAAACTATCAGAAGTCCAGCAGTTATGACAACATCATAGGAGCAACAGAATCCTGCTGGGCGAAATCCCCAGTGGATACAAACAGATATTATCATACACACTGGAGCACGATGTAAAACCTGATACATTAGATTATACAGTATGTGGCCAATGATTGTAAAATACTTGAACGAATCTGTGTAACTTCTCTCCAAATATTCACCACATTTCACTGTGAATTTATATGTGGCCACTTTGTATACATGCGTGGTTTGTTTAATGGTTTAGTATTTTACCATGTCCTCATATCTGTTGTGTAGGATTTTTGCATGTTTCAGTATTGTTAAATATCCCTTGCTTTCACTCAGGAGATAGTTAAAGAGTAGTTTGGGCCACAGAGATCTGTGATTGATGCTTGTGGGCTGTGTAAACAGTGTTTGGGTCAAAGTTCAGCCTTCTGGGCAACGTTTCTATCATTTTTGTTGCACTGGAGAAGGTAAGCACTAAACCCAGTTTGTGGAACACTGTTTTTTCTTTATAATGAGCTGATTAAATTTACTTTTTAATATCTCAAAGCACAGGACGTTTTGATTAAATAGTCAATATTTCTACCAGAGGTAAACCGTCTCCTTCCTACTTCATACAGCTTTTTATTTCTAGAAATGAATTCATGTTGATGACTCCTTTTTAGATTTATGCAGCTTTTCAGATGGGTTTGAGTTGTACTTTGGGTTTGTTCATGTGTCTCTGATCCAGATCACTGACAATGTAATACATTTCAGCTAACAATCTTTAGTATATAAAAGTAGGAAAAACAGATAACAATACAGACCCAAGCTCTGGAATGTGGGTGTCAGTTAGAGTGGCCCCAAAAGGGGGGTAGGGCGATGGGAGTTTGTCCCAACTAACTGGAGTGAAGAAAATCCTCTGAATGGCTGAATTGGACTTGTGCCCTGCAGTGACAGAAAACACACTGATTTTCCCTTGAAGAAGAGAAGAGGTAATCTTTGTAATGTTTCGATTTTGTCAAGCATGTTGTGTGACCTACAAAGTACTTTGTTAAAGATTGGTCTATTTTCAAATTTAAGTTAGCAGTATATTATGAAATTTTGAAGAAAATCAATCCAATAGTCCCTTTCATGCATTCTTGTTTGTGATTCATTCTGAACAAAATTAAGCTTTGATTGAGACATTGTGAAGTTCTTCTGTAATTTAATGCTGTGTTTTGGAAAGGAGATGTTTAGGAGGGGTGTTTTTCCCTCCTTATCAGTTAGAAAGAACATTTTAATTTCTCTAAAATCTCTCTCTTAATCTTTTTAGTCTATCAAAGTCACCTACGAGTTTCTACCCAGTGATTCTCTGTGGAGAAGGAACACTGAAAGGGGGCAGAAGCCTTTGGTAGCTTAATCTGCAACCGTCAGCTTGCAACAGTGAAATAAACTTGAATGGCACAAGTTGATTGGATGGACAAGCACAGTTTTTCACTGTAAAATTCAAAAACTCATGTTTTCAGGGTTTCCCTCAAAATCTAATCAGAATGAGGATGCTGAAGAGAGCCTCTGCAATCATCCTGAGAAGAGGAATTACAATTTATCAGAGCAGAGTGGGCAGAAATGGTAAATGCATCCTGTCATTACATCTCTTGACATTTAAAAGTATAACACAGTTTATAACAAATTGATGATAACAATGATGATTTATGAACAATGACCTCTTCTCTCAGATAGCCTTTTCAGGGTTCATCCATCTGTATCACAGGCACTGGCAGAAAACAAACCAGTGGTCGCACTCGAGAGCACTATTATCACACATGGCATGCCCTATCCACACAACCTGAGGTACTTTGTTTAACATTCAAGTGTCATTAAATTGCCTTACCGTACAATACTAGCAGCTAATAGTTGTTTTAATCATTGATAATGAGTTCCATTAATGTGTTAATGAAGCACAGCGAAGGAGGTGGAGGCCATTGTGAGAGCTGAAGGAGCCACTCCAGCCACTGTTGGAGTGATTGAGGGTGAAGTCCATGTTGGTCTGTCAGCAGAGGAGCTTGACCACCTCGCCCGTTGCAAGAGCTCCCTGAAGGTGTCCCGCCGTGATCTGCCATATGTCATCAGCAAAGTGAGGATGCAAACACAAATTTCAAAAATAATCTCTCTAAAACATCATCATGACCGACCTGGTGGTAGGGTTTCATCCCCTTTGATTACCTGCGTCAGTTATTTATGGTGGTGTTTTGAATGTTGTCCTGGATGTGTATATTATTTTCCCAGGGGCTCTCCGGGGGAACGACAGTGTCAGCCACTATGATAGCAGCACATCAAGCTGGCGTCCCTGTGTTTGTCACAGGAGGCATTGGAGGAGTTCATAGAGATGGAGAGAACAGTAAGACTTCCATGGGGAATACTCACATGACTTTTACACATACTGACATAAAACTTAATATTCTTAACAAACTGTGAAAACAGAATCACTGACGGGATGCTTCTGGCCTCCTTTCATGCAGAGACTTTCAGCTGTTTTATGTCAATCTGGATTTGATGACATGAACAGACATTAGGGCTGTTATGCAGTCACAAATATGATCCAGGGAATAGTGGCCATAGGAGGGCATACTGCATGAAGGCAGTCACCAAAGCTGTCAGGACAGCAAGTTAAGAAGACTGTCACCACTGAGTCAATGATTATTCCTCCAGGTCTGGACATCAGTGCAGATCTGACGGAGCTCGGGAGGACTCCCATTGCAGTGATCTCTGCTGGCGTCAAGTCTATTCTGGACATTGGTCGCACCCTCGAGTTCCTTGTAAGAATACTGACACAATGTTGACACTGGATCTGATATTGTGTTTCCCATTTGAGTGTATACTTTAGTCAGCCAAATATGCATTAGAAGTATTTTACGTTTATGTTGAAGCCAGAACATAGCATGAGATTTAACATAGACACGGGTGTTAGAAAATATAAACATTAGACAGGCTTTACACCACAAAGACTTAGACACATTATGGGACATAAGTGCCAAGTGTAGGTATAGAGTTCGCATTTGTGTTAGATGAAGAATTGTGATTAAAGGGGACCAGGTGAGGACTATTATGTATTTCTGTTCTGTATCTTTTATTAGGAGACGCAAGGAGTCTGCGTAGCCACTTATGGAGCGATGAAGAACTTCCCAGCCTTCTTCTCTCCACAAAGTGGATTCACTTCTCCATACCAAATCTGTAACCCTGAGGAGGCTGCAAAACTCATTGGTATGTCAGCATTTTATGTCCTCAACATTGATAGTTTCCTTGACCCATAACACACAGAGGTTATGAATTTGGATCAGTTATTTCTGGGTTTTTTTGTGTTGTTCAGCAAGCACTCTGACACTGGGTCTCCAAAGTGGTGTCCTGTTAGCAGTGCCCATACCAGAGGAGCACGCAGCAGCCGGCCAGCAGATAGAGGAAGCCATACAGGCTGCAGTAACAGAGGCAAGGTGCAGAAAGTCTCTGTGGCTTGTAATCTGTTGTGAATCAAATGGAGTTTTGATCTCAGCTTAAACAAATCATCACTTTCTGTTCTTTTTGATTTATACAGTGCTAAAGGTATAACAGGAAGAAATGTGACTCCGTTCATTCTTCAAAAGGTTAATGAGCTGACTAAAGGAAAGTCCCTTCAGGCCAGTATCCTTCTGAAAATTTCAGTCACTGAGAACTCAAGCGGAAAACATGATAAGATCAAATTCTTTGAAAAACAAAAAGGCTCTAAGAATATTGATAATTTGTTGTCTCACAGACTAGATGTGTGCAGTGCTCTCAAAGGTTCATAAAATGTAAATTACTTTTGCCCTACTGCATATTACGACTAAAATGTCCTTAACTTCTTATGTTTTTAGACATTGCTCTCATTCATAACAATGCTAAAGTTGGCAGTCAGATAGCTTGTGCGCTGTCAAAACAAATGCATGAGAGAAAGTTAAAGGGTAAGACTCATCATCATGAAAAACACTCATCAGACTCAGAATCAGACATTGTGAGTATAAATAAATATGATGGACTTATATCATTCTATAATTTTATTTTTTATTATAGTATACTATTGGCACATTTCATCATCCCACAATGCTGTTCTTTTACAGGTTGTCATAGGGGGAATAAATGTTGATTTTATTGCTAAAGGAAAAACAAAAGCACTTCATGTAAGTTTCATTTATTACATGCATTTATTCACAATGCTACAGATAACATAAGACCATATTATATAGGTTATAATGACTTCTGAGGAGATTTGTCTCTTTCAGTTCGGACAGACCAACCCAGGAAGTGTCTGTCAGTCATTTGGTGGTGTAGGCCGGAACATTGCTGGTGATGTTTATCTCCTTACCTTATTGCACATTTTTCATCAGTAATTTAGATCTGAGTTTCTCACATTCACTTCTTTGGTACTTTCCTTCAAGACTCTCTGAGTCGATTAGGCCGTAGACCCCTGTTCATCTCAGCTATTGGAACTGATTCACACAGTGATGCAGTGTTAAACTATTGTAAACATATGGTATGCAAACATAAACTGTTAATACTGAGCATGATTATAATCTCTTTTCCTTCAAATATGTATATGCAAAGTTCTTGACTTTTTATTACTTATTTCTGTAAGAACACAAGTGGTGTGGCCCGACTAGAAAAGCAAAGCACAGCTACTTACTGTGCCGTTATCACTGAGAGTGGAGAACTGAGTCTTGGATTGGGAGACATGGACATCCATCAGCAAATCACAGAGCAGCATGTAAGTTAAACTGGCAAAGTTATTCATTTTCAGCAAAGTTAGCCCAGGCTATATGTTCCAATACCATATTCAGAACCATATTCACTATTAAAGTTACAATCCACACATTTTCATTATATCAAAGCCAGATTTAGTTACTATTTATGGTTGGCATTTCATTTGCTATAGCTGTTAAATGTATTTACAGTTACCTCTGTATGTAGTAATTTTCCGGTGCTGGAATGGACAGGAGACAGCACATGCATGTACTGGAAGAAATCATATAGACAGGCACAGCCATGCATGTGGACATTGCAAATCGTTTGTGTTGTTTATATGTCATGTAATGCATTTATAATGTCATTTTGAACTAACCTGTGAAGCACTTCTTGTTTTTAAAATGTGCTATAGGAAAAAAAAGTTTATTTATTTAATTGCTATTTCTTTATTCTATCTTTTACTATCTTTTTAAAGGTGTCACAGTTTGAGAAGCAGCTTTCATCAGCCATTCTTGTGTGTCTCGATGGAAACATACCTGTCTCCACCATCGACTACGTTTGTTCCATAGCCACTAAACACAACATCAGTGGTAAGCATGGGGAGATGGTCACTAAATGAAAAACGAATGATTGTAAACACTTGATTTTAATACAATACCAACTATGTGTGTCATAGTTTGGTATGAGCCAACAGATTCAGAAAAGGCTTGTAAGCCTTTCCTTTCAGATGCCTGGAAGTCTCTGTCCTATGCATCCCCAAACCTGGCAGAGTTGTGCACCATGAACAAAACACTGGGTGTTCCAACACCTGAAGGTAAACTGTATTCCTTAATGAGTATTTAATAGATCTACTGTAGATTTGCTCTTATACACGTATTCCCACACAGTTGTTACAGGGTTCTTGTGAAAAATGCAAACAGTCATAGATGAGGATGTGGTTTTGTCTTGTGGGGTGACAGTGCTGCCAAGCTCTTTTGACGACATACTGAGTGTTGGTGTAGCTCTCGCACGCCCCCTTCTGGAGCATCTTCATTGTCTGGTGGTGACTCTGGGGGCTGAAGGGGTGTTGGTGTGTGGAGAGCATGATGCAGGCTCGGTCAACCTGCAGCCAAGAAAAGAGAAGAGGGTAAGGGCAACCTATGTTTAAACTGATAATGATGACGATGATTAATGACAGAGAAAGTGAAGATGTTTACTGCACCTGTGTTCGCAGAGGAGGCAGCTTTGTGCTCTCCATTATCCAGCAATTACTGTGACAGCAGAAGAGACAATGAATGTGTCAGGAGCAGGAGATAGGTGCTAGAAATTTACTTGACCTACTTTCTCTTCCCTATTCATCTTTTAATTTCTTTTCCAAACTTCCTGTTTCAGTTTCATCTACTTTTCATTTCGCATGACCTCTTTCTTTCCCTTTCATACTTTCCCTCTCTCACAAAATCATGCCTAAACATTCAAAGGAAAGACAATCATGCCCACTTTGTCTGCAGTCTTGCAGGTGCCTTAATGGCTGGGATTCTTCAGCGGCGAGACACAGACAGCTGTGTTCGGATGGGGCTCATGGCTGCACGGCTGTCCCTGGCGTCATCGCACCCCATCGCCCCCACGCTCACCTTAGCCTCTGTGGATCCCATCAAAGTCCAGAGTCAGTTCTGGCCCAAACCCAGCTTCATGTGGATAGATTAAAAATATTTTCAATTTTGAAAAATTACTTCAGGTCAATTGTGATTAGATTCTTGCATGTAACTAATACGAAGTGACTAGTACAAAGTACGAAGATGACACATTTTACAAAAAAAACCCATGAAATCCTAATTATATTTGATATTTTAAATTGTTCTGTAATAACTGATATCTTGCAAATAAAAATAAATGAACCATTTTTTCTAATCTTTGCTTGAGACAGCTAAATCTTTGTAAATAAATTTTGAAACATTATAACAAGGTACTCTGGTGTTTTGATTTCTTATAATAAAAAAAGGTACATATTTAACAGCAGTGGTGGAGGAAGTATGCAGCACAAGTGTGTGTTATTCTTATTTTTTGTAATATGTAAGCATCATGTTAGCTGTTGGTCAAAGTGGAGCTAATTTACTACTTCATATATTGTTGTGTAGTTTAACTGGTAAAAATCCAACATTTTTTATAAACTGATCCTATGTTTTTTATGTAAAATTGTAATCTACAAAGTAACTAATAACTAAATAAATATACTATTGTAAAAAAAGTATTTAAAAAATATTTCCCTATGAAATGCAGTGTAGTTGAAGTAGCCTATAAAGTCATATAAAATGTAAAATGTACTTACGTAAAGTACAGGTACCTCAAATATGTAGGCTATTAAAGTAGGCAAATGTACGTTTTGGTATTTTATTTTAAATGCCACATTCTAAATGTTTGCAGGAAATTTGTCCCTGGGCCTATCTTAAAACCCCCTCGAAAACTACATTTCCCAAAAAGTATCTGTCCATCTGCGCAGACTCAGTGGCATTAAACACTTGCCCCACTCCCTCCTCCCTACTTTAATGCTAGCTAAGATGGTGGTTAGAGCGTAAATTGTCTCTACAATACCAAGAGAAGAAAGGGGCAAAACATCTTTATAGCCTTTTAATTACCACAGAACAACACACCTACGGTTATCTTATGTGACCGTCTGTGAAAAAAATTAGATATTTCAGATATATTGGCTCGCAGTCCCCGCCCAATTTGGTGTGACTCCCTTGGAGTGGAATCCTAAGCTAAATACGGACAGGGTAAGTAACGCTAACGTTAGCCAAGTTGTTAGCTTCCATCCTCCCTTCAGAAATAAAGGACAGTTGTGTCTGTGGCGATTTTAAAGACTGACACTAGAATACTCGCTGGCTTATTGGATCGCTGCCCAGGTAATCTTACTGTCGTGAGAGCAATGTCAGTTGTTTATAGTACCAACAACTTGCCTCCAGTTCAGCGTTAGCTTGCGTAGGCCGCGTCGTAAGCTTGGCTCCAAAACTCCGTATATTTCGATGATAATGTAGCATGCTAGCTACGTCGATGCTAGCGGTTAGCATCCAACAAGCTGTCAGTTAAGATGTAGGCGAAAACGTAACGTTATGGCATACGTTTCTTTAAACGTTTAACGACAATATCAAGTTAATGTTGATCTCTATATGTTTTGTTTTTATGATCTAACTCACAGTTGCTGCTGCACACTTGATATTAGTTAGACCGGCTTCTTTTACCAATTCGGGGCTAATGTTAGCTTAGCCTAACGTTAGTCAAATAACATCTGTCATAATGGACAACCCAGAAGACAGAGCAGCTAAAGTTACCAGTCTGGCAAACTAGCTTGGTATTCTGGCTTGATACACGACTTTACCAATCAGCTGCTGCAGGTGAAGCTGCAAAACCGTGATACTCCTGTACATGTTAATTTATTAGCAAAATGTTGGCATTTCTCTGTTCTCGTCTAATTCAACACTGTCGGGTTTTTCCCAGTCTGGGCTTGTCATTGAATTCGCCTGCTGGCAGCAGTGTTGTCGCGTAGAAACCGCGCTGGCGATTAACAGCTAAGAACAGACGGTTCATTTGTAAATAAACTCAGTTTGTAGCATTTTTCTTTCAACGTCCATCGTGACGTTGTGTCTGGTACTGTCAACCCCTGGAAGATACCACAACATGCGCATTAACACGATGACTACTGGTTTTGACTTGTTTTCTAAGACGTACACTCGGTTGTCCTTTTATTAGGTACACGTAGCTTGAACAGAATCCAAATCCCTGCAATAACTCAAACCATCCTGGAGGTTATAATGTTAAGTTTTTGTTTAAACTGTTTTAGGGAAACAGAAACTTCATGCACATTTTTGAAGGCTGTAGTTTGGGACCCATCACAATTTCCTTTTTTTTTTTTTGTATGATCAACACACCAAATATTTGCATTTTTTAAATGTGGGAAACAGCGAATTGTTGACAGTTCTGTTGACTGACTGAAGCGATTACTTGCTGATTACTTTCTGTCGATCACCTCATTGTTTCAGCTCTCTATTTACCCTAAATGGTATAAATGGAGTAGATAAACATTACAAACTTCTGTGTACAGCACAACGCAATGCAGCAGCACCACAAACTACAGCCTCCAGAAGGGCCATAGAGTTGAATCAACACCTATCTAGATGAGATTTAAGTAAGATGTGTTGCATTAGACTGCAGTAGTTTAGCCAGGTTGACCTGTTTCCTCTGTTGCTGAATAGGTAAAACTGCAAGAAAGATATTTGTGTGAATACATTTTGGTGTGCTCAGTCTGATACTGTGACCTTGGTGCTCATAAAGTCAGTTTCTGGGGCTACACCATCCCGCAATAAATCATTTGTGGGGGGAAACAAGTTTAGTTAGTAAAAGGAAGTTATTCTGTTGATATTGTTTCCAGTCGTGTCATGATGGAGTGCTTATACTTATCTTTTGTATGTCGTGTTAGCCCTGTGCTCTGTGACCAGCTTCAACACTCACCCTCGCCGCGCCATAGGATGTCCCACAGCCCTGAAATGAAGGACGACCCCATGGAGTGCCCTCTGTGCATGGAGCCGCTGGAGATCGATGATGTCAACTTCTTCCCCTGCACCTGTGGCTATCAGATCTGCCGCTTCTGTTGGCACCGCATCCGCACAGATGAGAACGGCCTCTGCCCCGCCTGTAGAAAGGTGAGAAGATGATGAGATTAACAGGATACCAAAGAAAAGTCATAACAACTGAAGGGTGATCATCTGTTATGGGGAATTGTTCAGGAAAACAGCATGATAGTGAGGATGCTGAGTGCCCAAATGCTACTATTGGCGGGGGGGGGGGTTCATCTCCCCTTCTGAAGTAACTTGCTAGTTAAATCATCTCTTCATCATAATTTTCAATTTACAGCCTCAGCAGTTTGGCTAGCGATGCCTGTTGAACTACCATATTGACAACTAAAGTCCTCAGTTAATACCCACTGTCCTTACTTAATTTAAAGTAAATGGTGGATTTCTAAGCGTGTAACAAAATTTTCTTTGTGTAGCCGTACCCAGAGGACCCCGCTGTATACAAGCCTCTGTCACAGGAGGAGATCCAAAGGATAAAGAACGAAAAAAAGCAGAAACAGAATGAGAAGAAGCAGAAGGTGACAGAAAACCGCAAGCATCTGGCCAGTGTCAGAGTGGTCCAGAGAAACCTGGTGTTTGTGGTGGGACTCTCACAGCGACTCGCTGACCCTGAGGTGAGTGTAGCGGCTCCGCCAAAAAGCTCAGACTTTGGAGTGTCAGGAACTATTGGCATTTTAGCTTGGTGTAAAGAAGGCTGTGATAAACTGGAGGAACTAGCTGCTAGATTTATCTTGGACTTTTCTGACATTCACAGATACAATGAAAATCATGAATCCTTTGTTCAGGAATCATTTTAATGCACATTTAAAGGTCTTCTGGAAACCTCCCACTGAAGCTTCAAGTGATATATACATATATATTTATAATCTTTTCGCATTGTGCCCACAGGTCCTGAAACGACCAGAGTATTTTGGGAGGTTTGGAAAAATCCATAAAGTGGTCATCAACAACAGCACATCTTACGCCGGTTCACAGGTGAGTGATTGGATCAAATTCACAGGAAGTTCTCGCAATTTATACATTTATAAACATTAACAGAACTTAATCAATATACATTTTTAATGGAAGAACAGAAAACTTTTTGTTGTTTACAATTACAAATTATTACAAATACAAAGATTTATTTGGTTATCGTTTCTCCACAGCTACATACATTATTTTCTCAGCTACTTTATAGATAAAATTGTCATTACTGAGGGATAAAAATGCTAACTGATTAAACATGTTGACAGCGAATAATGGTAAAATTGTACAATACAGCTCTGTAGATCTGTCTGACTTGTATGTTTACTTGAATTTTCTGGGGTTTTTTTAGGGGCCTAGTGCCAGTGCCTATGTGACTTACATCCGCTCTGAGGATGCTCTAAGAGCAATACAGTGTGTGAACAATGTGGTTGTTGATGGCAGAACACTCAAGGTGAGAAGTTAACCACAATGATTTGGCGCCTCGCTTTTATCTATATTAAGTCCTGATCTTGTATATGGCTTTTATTAGAAGTTTTATGTGCATAAAAGCCATGTGATCTAGGTTCTCAGGCTGAAACAAAAACATTCTTATATTAAACAACCTTCAAAGTAAAACTGCCTTCTTTCTGTGTCTCTGTTACAGGCTTCTTTAGGCACAACAAAGTACTGCAGTTACTTCCTCAAAAGTATGCAGTGTCCCAAACCAGATTGTATGTATCTACATGAGCTGGGGGATGAAGCAGCTAGCTTTACTAAAGAGGAGATGCAGGTAAAAGTATTGTTTCATTGAGACTGAGACTTTCTGAGAAAAAATTTTCTCTTTTCTGTGTGCGTTGATCTTGGTTTATGAATTTATAAAACTTATAGTGTTGACTCCTTTTGTGCTTTTGTGTTTTTAGGCAGGGAAACATCAAGAGTATGAGCAGAAACTCCTCCAAGACCTCTATAAAATTAACCCTAGCTTTCTACAACCTCCAGCATGTGGAACAGAGAAGTCAAAGAGTAAATCCAACTCCACACAGAGGTTTGTTCTTTCTTACTATGTTCTTACTCTTATTATAGTGAAACATCTTTAGAGTGATCACATATATCCAGGTCAAATTTATGACTACAATTGGATGATTATTATAATGAAATGTTTTTCTTTTTTTCTCACGCACAATACTGTGTAATTGACATTTGTATATTTGTTACATGAATATAAAGTAATGAAACAGAAAGCTTCGCTATTTAAACATGTACAGCTGTTTCAAACGCTTTTCAAATTACTGTACCGTCTGTTATTCAAATACACTACAGTAGTAGAGTTCCACGCTATAGATAAAATATAGGTTACTGCAGTTCACATTATAATTAGGCTAAAGCCTAAAACAGTA